GAGTCGGAGGACAGAATGTAGGAGCTGACGCTTGGCATGGGATTCTTAACCATGTCAGAACAGGAATCCACAAGTGAACCCTGAAGCTATGAGTGGAGCAGCAGGTGAGGAATAGGACAGACAAAAGGGAAAAAACAGAAGGAAAGCCTGAATGGCCAAAAATGGCAGAAGTGCTGAGAAGAGTTTAAAGCTGCCATATTGAATGTGTTTAAGGGCTATTGAATTTGTTTATCCTTCCTATGGTCCAGAAAATTCCCAGGGCCAAAATTGGTAGGACTCTAGGCATTAAAAGTGTTTAATTAGAGTGAGAATGTGGGAATGCAGGCACAAGAGCTGTTGTACAACACCATCAGATCAAGTGTCTATACATAAAAAGTTGGAGACACCTGTGGACACTAAAAAAAACAAGTTTCATAGAAAGAGAGAGCAGCTAGGTGCTGGTGGCTCACATGTGTAATACTAGCTACTCAGGAAGCAGAGATCAGGAGAATCACAGTTTGAAGCCAGCCAGGCAAATAGTTTGTGAGATCTTATCTTGAAAAAAATCCATCACACACACACAAAAAAATGGCTGGTGGAGTGGGTTAAGGTATAGGCCCTGAGTACAAACCACAATATTGAAAAAGAAAATGAAAGAGAGCGTAGACTAGAGTTTACCAAAGCCTGGGAATGGGGGACAGAGAGAAGAAGACTGCTACAGGTTCACAGGTGCAGTTGGATAGAATGAATAACTTAAATGTTTCCACAGCACAGTAAGATAACTACAGTTGACAATAATGACTTGTAGATTTCAAAATAGCTAGTAGAGAGAATTTTGAATATTCTTAACACAAACAAATGACATTTGTCTGAGGTGACAGATGTGTCATTATCCTGATCTGATCTTACACATTGCATACATGTATTGAAATGTCACACTCTGCCCATTAGATATGCACAATCACTAGGCAGGCACTCTTACTACTTGAGCCACCCTGCCAACCCCAATTACTATGCATCAATTAAAAATAAGTATATGTGTAAGGTGATGGATATACCAGTGCCTTGAGCTAATCACTATACATTATGTATAGGCATTTGAACAACACACTGCACCCTATAAATCTGTACAATTATTTTGAGCTGGTTTAGTATTTTTAAGAAAGAGTGTGGGGAAACAGCACTTTAAATCTATTGGAGCTCCTAGCTGCAAGATTGATCATAGAATGGAATTAGAGCTCTCAAACTTCACTTGTCCTAAACCAAGAAACTTATTTTGGGGTCTAAGAAAAAGCCCTGGGGCTTTTTTTTTCTTTATGATTTTCTTGAGCATTTTATTTTTTAGTTTGAGTGGCCCCATGGCTCTGACTCTTTGGAGGAAAATGGAATGTTATTGTAGCTAGTATTTATTAGTGTTTTGAGTGTACTAACCATCTTAATCTTCACAGTAATCCAAACTATGTTCCTTTAATATACCTGTGCTCTCCATGATGAAACCAACTGGCACAATGAGCCTGAGCAACTTCCCCTAAGTCACACAGCTGTGCCAACCAAGGCAGCCTGGTTCCAGAAGTCACACTCTCCTGAACTAGTAGAGCAAAACAGGGTGAAATCTAACTCCATTCATCCTTGACTCTTTTCCACACAACAGTAGCAGAACCCCATCAGGCTAGTTCTCAATCCACTTGTCCTGGATCTGGGATCTGAATTTAGCTGAGCCTCCAGGAAGTGTTAACCACCTTAACCAAGCAAGCCAGCTGCCCTCTCCTGCTGTCAGACCACAGAGTAGACTTTCTAGGAGAAGGCAGGGCAATTGTTCCTTCTAATACCATCCTCAGATTGTGTGGTGACAAATGCCACAGATTCCAAGGTGGATGTACAATTACTTTTTTTGACCAGAGGGTCATACAGGAAGGGACTGATAGCAGAAACAAGAGGTCAGAAACAATCTGATTCAGAATTCTGAGACACTCAACACTGTCAGGTGGTTCATTCAGTCATTCCACAAGCATTCTTCAGCTCCTATCACATGTCCCATATTACTTCATTTTCTTGGGGTATGGCTCCCTGCAGACACTCTTTATCAGTTACCTAGGAGTTCCCTATCTTTGTGGGTTGAGACACTTATATAGCAACTCCTCCACCTTCCTTTCCTAGCAGCAAGCAGCCCAGACTGGAGGGGCCCCCACCAAACACGAGGCTGTCTTTGTTCAGTAGCTCTTGGATGCACAAGTGAGCTCTGTATTACCGCCCTTTCTGCAGGGGTAGCTGGAGTGCCTGGAAGCTACTAGTTCCAGCCCTGCAGGGCCACGGGGATGGCCCAAAGCCCCAGCCATGAGCTTTGCTGCTCAAGCCTCTGAACCTTTGATTTCATGCGGATGATTATTTTTATTCTTGCCCACTCAAGGATGAAGCCCAAGGAGCAAGAGATTTCTCCTTTCAGAAGCTCCACAATGGCTCACCTCCAGCCAAAATCACTGGGTTTTGTTTTTTATTTCTGGGTTTTGTTGAGCCTCTCTTGGAAACCATTACTATACAACTCACTTAAAGAAAGAGTAGGGGGACTGAGCATAAGAGACTCAGACAGAGAGGGGGCCGGGTATGGGGAGCCTGGGGCAGGAGATTGCAAGTAGTGTGTTGTCAGAGAAAGTGAGGGACCAGCACATTAAAGTCACAATGCGATTTGAATCAATTCCATTTTGTAGCGACATTTTTAATCTTTTGCAAAGTCAAACTATTCCAAGTTTGACTTTTGGCCAAGCCTACAGAATTGGGACTTTGGATGATGGTTTCAGAAAAAGACACAACACACACACACACACACACACACACACTGAAGGAGAGAAAGGGGAGGGAAACCTTTATCCTAAAGTCATTGTAAATCCAAAGCAGGGTTTTATCCTCCACAGTTAAATGAGAAAGAAAAAAAAAAAATCAAGAATACCGACATTTGAGGTACAAAGACTGTCATGGGCCAGTGGAAGTTTGCAAAATTATATGTAAATGAGCAAAGTTTTTTTTTTACTGTGGTGGCCCTGTGCATTCCCAAAGCTAATCCCAAAGAGAAAATCTACTTAGCAAAAGGAAGTTTTGTCTAATTTGGTTAACAGTTGAGAAGTGACAAAAATGCTGAATATATTAATAATTTATATTTCCAGGGTAACACTATATCTTTAATGCTTCACTGCCAAAGGGAATTCAGATTGGCTTAATGCTCAGAGGAGAAAAATCCTTGAAAGGCTTTCTTCAAATTCTGTATCCAGCGCTGGTGAAAATGGGTGTAAGACATGTGTTCCAATAATGGGCACCATCCATTCTCCCTTTTCTGCATAAATTGTTTTTATCCCATATTGCTTCATGTTTATTTGCTATCCAAAAAGTCCGTCTGGTCTCACACTGAAACCCATGCAAAGAAGAATCTAGCTCACATTTTGGGGATCGATAAATTACCTCAAGAATCCCTTCTCTGCAAAACCTTTACTACAATGTATAGATTTTTTTCCAAAAAAAATACATGATACATTTCATTTTATGAACAACAAAATGAAAGATTTCGTTTGTTTGTTTCCCTGTCTCTGTGTAATGAAGTTTGTTGGCTTACAAATTGCAGATCCTCCAATTCCATGACCTCAGTAAACAGAGTAGGTCAGAGTTCTCGTAAACCCTGTCCAGAGAAAGGGAATAAGTTAATTTACTTCATTTGGCTAATCTGGGAGAAAAATCATCTCATCCTTCTTCAGCTAAATGGCCTCTGGAAATAGAGGAAAATGGTGCTACATAATTTCAAATAATTGATTTTAAGGGCATCAAAGATACTAAGAACAAAAAAGTAAAAAGTCAATGATCAAAAAAATTGACATCTCCACAAACAATTCCAACTGGTGGATAGCTTGTTTATTTTACTTATTAATATAAAGCTACACGGTGGGTAATTTTGCCATTCGAATCTTAAGAAAAATGTGATTGCAGCCTGCTGTTTGAAACATAAGGCAGATCCTCTGGAACTGATCTTTGTGACCTAAAAGATCACTAACCAAAACTTCCCTAGACTGGACTTTTCTCATCTTGTTCTGAATGGAGAGAGATTTTTTAGAAAAGAAGGAAGGAAATCCACCTGGGAAGAGGGGGCGATCCCTTCTCTCCAGGCCTGACCACGTGAACAGAGAATCCAACGACTGGATCCTGCCTCAGAGGCAGGATGGGAGCGGTGGGGAAACAATTACTCCAGGGAGCGCATCCTCCAGCCTGGCCTCTCTTGCAGTCGCAGAGTCCCTGCAGCTGGGCTGATCTGTGCGTAAAAAGGCAAGCCGGTCTCCCTGAAACCTCAGGTGTGTAGTTGTCATCCGAAAACAGCCAGAAAACCTCGACGGATGCTTTTTCTAAGTCATAAAACAAAATGCTACAACGCTACTTTATCCACATCCACAGAGTTAAGGCTGTGAATTCAGCTCTGCGTCCTGCAAGCCTGGGTGTTGCTGGGTTCCAGACCTGCGGGTTTGTGCGCGCGTCAAAATTGCCTGGAGGTAGAAAGGCCACCCAGGTCCCAGCTGGCTCAAGTTCGCCAAAGCCAATTTGGGAAAGGTCTTTCGATTTGCATATTCTGAGAGCCAATGGCCTAGTCCCCGCTTCCGCCCACCTCCAGTGCAAAGGTGCACGCCAGGCGGCGAGGTCTGAAGACGCTACGGGTCGCGACTCCCACCGCCAAGCCACTCCTCCAATACCTTCTAAAGCCTCCATTTAGCCTCCCTCTTCCAGAGACTGCCAAAGCTCCTCCCCAGCCAAATTACTGAGGGCAGTCACCTTGGCCCCTATCAGTCTCGCACCGGTGGCACCTCAGAGGGGATGGGCTGTGGATGAACAGAGGTACAAAGAAATCCACATCTTTGGATCGTAATCACAAAACATTTATTGCCAGGGGGCGATCCTTCGACAGACTAATTCGCTCTTCTCCCACCCAGTTTTGGTTGGCACAATATTTACACCTGTACAGTATATACAGCATTTCTCCTAACCAGCGCCCAAAGCGCAAAGTAGTGGAGAGGGCGGTGTGCGTCAGAGCACCTGGGGGTGTTGGGGCGTGTGCAGGTTGAGGGCGTTGGGATGGGCGTGGCCGATCAGGTTGAGGTAATGCCGATCCAGGCCCTGCACAGGCGCCAGGAAAGAACTGTGCTGCTGTGCGGGGCTCGGGAGCGGCACCGGAGCGCTGGGCAGGTAAGGCAGTGCTGGGCTGCGGGCCGCGCCGTGAGGCCAGGGGAAAGACGCCGGAGCAGCACCCTGCGGGAACACAGTGGCCTCGCCGGGGCTGTGGCCCTGCAACTCCGACCCCGCCGGAGGCCGCTGATAGGAGAAATCCAGCTCCGGGAGCGAACCCGGCGGCGGGAAGGCGGGCTCCGTGCCCAGGCGGGCCTTGGACTGCAAGAAGGCTAGGATGCGCGCATACTTGGTGTCCTTGGTCTCCATCCGCTCCACGGTGGTAAGATAATGCACCAGGTTCTTCATGCACTCGTGGTAGCCGTAGTGGAAGTAGTTGGCAAACTCCGCTAGAAGTTCTGCTATGGGGGAGGAGGGTCAAGAAAGATGGTCGAAAGAAAACCCCGAGCAGAGCAGCCCCTTCCCCGTGGGGAGTCTGATGCTGGTGCCGGGCATCTCCCATCACATCTTCTGATTAAAGTTCCTATTCGAGGCCGTCGCTGTCCTCTTTACAGTCTAGACACTGTAGAAGTTCTAGCAAACGACCCCTTCTCCCCAAAGAACCTGGCCACATCCTTCCCACCTGGGAGGGATCCATAGAACCAGCATCCTTAAAAACCTGTTCTCCATCGCCACTTCGCCAGCGTCAGGCAGGACAGGTGCTTTCGCAGGACCCCTCCCCTCCCGGTCTTTGGAATCTTCCTTCTAGTAGACCCCTCCGGGATGTATCTTTACCCCCATTCCCAGCCCCAGGTCTCTGAGTGGCGCACGCTCTAGGCCGGGACCCTTTCCTTCACCCACCTTTTTCCCTTCCCCGGGGAAAATCAGCGGAGTGCAGCGCTCTCAGGTACTGAACAGTCATCTCGAGGATCTCCGCCTTCTCCAGCTTTCCAGAACTCTGCAAAAGGAGAAAAGGCTCCTTGCAGCGACTCAGCGGTCGCGGTCCAACCGCAGGAGACTGGGGAGGCACTGCTTTCTCTGGATCTGCTCGAGAGCCGAGCAGTGCTCAGGGCCCGAAGGGTCAGCACTTAAGGCTTGCCGCGTCCCCAAACGCCTGATGTCCGGGTCATGGGCTCCCAACGGTTGGCAGCCAGCTCCCGCCGAGAATGTTACCTGCTTCGCCAGGGCCATGGGCACCGTCTTGCCCAGCTCATTCAAGCAGCGGTTGATTCTGTCCCTCCTCCGTTTTTCTATGACTTTATGAGAAACTGGGGTTCTCTGTGAACAGAGGGTTTTACATTTGGGATGGCTTTGCCCAGGGATTCGTCCAAGGCACTAATAGTAGCTGCGTGATTAGATGTTCGCTTCAGGAAGGGACCCCCGCCCCGCCACACTTGGAACAAGAAACTCTGTCCCCAGACGCCCGCGCTGGCGCGCTCTGGATTCAGCCCTATCCTCTCCGGCCACTCAGCCAAACTAATCGCCAGGCTTTGGGGAGGTGGCCACCAGCCACCGGAGTGAACGTCCCCTCGGTTGAGGACTCTCCTTTTTCTATCTCTATTCCCTTGCCAAAGCACGTTAGGATTCCTCCACACTCAAAGTCTCTTGTGGTCACGTCTCTGCCCATCGGTCCAGCCAGGTGGCGGGTCGGTGAGTCACACGCCTCCACCACCAGGGCGCAAAGACTCACTTTGCGTTCCTTGAGCTTGTCTGACATCCTGGTCAGTACTCGCCCTCTGGAGAGGCGGTGGCGCCAGGCACCCGTCCACTTTGCACCTCGTGTGCCTCTTGGAGTGTCTCAGGTAGACTGTAGCTTCCCAACTCTAAGGGGCTGCCTTATAAAGCGGTCATCTACGACTCCAATTGCATTCACGAGTTGAATTATTCCATAGGATTAGGGGGTCTGCGTTTGGAGGATGTATGCATTCAAGATCAGTTTTAAAGAAGTTAAGAAAAAAAAATTTAGCAGCCTAGGGGGGCGAGCTGGGGGCAGATCAGCTTTGTTAATCCACGTGGCCCTTCAAAAGACACGTGATCAACTGGGGAATAACATTTGCATGGCAAAGCCGGGGCGGGAAAAGGAGGCGGTAAACTGGGGCAGGCCGGCGAACAAGTGTCTACAGCAGTCGCAGCGCAGAGCGCAGGGGCGCAGTGGCCGCGGGCACCGGGGGGCGAGGACCCTCACAAAACAGTGTCGCCTCCTTTAGTCCCACCGCTGAGTCTCACACGATCGCCTGTTTACAAATCACAGCAAGTCCGCAGTCCCAGAGCCGAGTGCGTTTTAAAGCCTGTCCAGAGTCATTAAAGTAATTAAGTAAGCCTTTAATAGGCTGTTCCGCCGGGTTCAAGGGAGAGCTCTTGGAGACGGAGGCGCCCCGTTTGTTCCCAGGCTTTTCTCACAAGACTTGGTGACACGTCCATCTCCCCCCTTTTTGTTTACACCGCTTTATTTGTCCGGACATCCCGGCAGGTGTGGGGCTGCGGCTGGCACACGAGGCTCCCGCCTCGCCTCGCCCCTCCCGCGGGTCTTTGGCACGCGACGCTCCCCCCTACTCCCTGACCAAATTGCCAGCTTTCTTTTCTCCCCCCTCGGGCTCTCTCTTTGCGGGGGGAAGAGGCTCAATTTGTAGCCTATTATCCTATACGAAAATGTCCATTGAAAAGTATGAATAGTTTCATTGGGTTAAATTTTACCAGGGGTGGGGGAGGAGAGGCCGGCGGGTGTGTGTGTGTGTGTGTGTGTGTGTGTGTGTGTGTGTGTGTGTGTGAATGTGAGGGGGTTGGTGAGAGGATTGGGGGGCAACACGGAGAAGAGTGGGCCGAGAAGAAAAGGGGGAATGCAGCTGGCCTAGGCGAGTATTATGCGACGTCACCTGCGTGAGGGGGCGCCTACAGACCCCTATTCATTTGCCTAATTTTGGTCAATTTAACAAACTTCAGGAGAAATTATTGTGGCTTTGTCAGGAAGGGTGAAGCCTTCTGATCGAATTAACAGCATGTTTTGATCCGGTAAATGTCATTAGAAAGGGAGAAACAATCGCGCTTAGAGGACTCTGAGTAATGCGCCAAGTGGAGACGCCAAAGCGCACGGCTCACAAAGGAAGCAAGTAGCTGCCACAGGGAACTTTTGTACCCGCCCATCGCCCAAGTTTTGACACAAAAAGGCATTATTTCATACTTGAATACGTTTAATCCAACGATTGTCTATTTTCTGCAAACATATTTTCACAGCATTGTTAACTTTTTATGTCCCCCTTTCGCGGGCGCCTTTTCATAACGTTTGGGGGCGGGAGAGCGCAGACACTTTGGGCATCAATATTTGTCACTGAAAAGGGCCCCGTGAAGTTAGGGAAGTTGATCTCTTTTTTATGGTTTTAGAAAGCGAAAATATCGGGGGAGGAGGAGGGAGGGAAGGCACGGACAGAAACGAGGGAGGAAATTTGCTGGACGGGTCCAAAGGGAAGAAGGGGGGTGGAGGCGCCTGGGAACTCTCTCGGCTCCTCTGCGCCTCGGCGGGCGGTCTGGTCCCACCCGAGGCCTTGGCCACCACGGTCCCCCCTCACCCACATTTGCAGCTTCGGAACCCTTCACTCTGGGGTCTCCGTGCTTGCGGAGTGTAGGTGGTGGGTGAACTTCCTTGCAGATGATAACGATAAAAAACAATTTTTGTTTTATGACCTGTTCTGGAGCCACCGGATTCTCACCTTTCTCTAATCCTTTCCATCTGGGAACAACAAGGACTTCTCTTTATATACCTGCCCTCCTCCCTTTTTGTGGTCTACACCCCCGAGTAAATTCTCTCTACTTTGCTGCGCGATGACAGGGCCGGGCTCTTCCTTTGAGTGGTGGTAGTCTTTGGCAGAGGTGACTTGGGCGGAGCCCTGCTCGCTGGTGGGACCAGGGCAACTCCAGGGCGCAGAGTCAGGCCTGGAGTGCAGGACCTCGGGGAAGCAGCCGCCCACCTGCCGCAGCATGGGAGGTGTGGGGGTCGGTCTGCACCTCGCACCCTCGGGTGTCCCTCTCCTTCTTGCTTCTAGTTTCTTTTCTACTTAGCACCAGATTGGACACGACCCGCACCCTCCTGCAGGTTGCTCTGCTAGCCGCGGTTACCCTCTCAGGGGTTGTCCATTTCAGTATATTCACTCGCATACAAAGGGATTAAACAGGAACCCTTATCATCCAAATTAACTAACGTGAATGGGTAAAAGGGAGCGCGCACACTTCTCACCCCCACCCCTCGTCTTTAAGCCAGCGGACTAGGAGTTGATCCTCTTACTGCTGGTGTTAACCGCCAGCTGCAGGCACCTTCCACAAGCCAAATTTCATTCCATGCGAGCTGTTTAATTTCCCGGGTTTGATCACGGCGCTAGGCTCAACCCCGCGTGGGGTTGAGTTGGGGATGGCGTGGGGTGGATGCCGGCAGATGGGGAGCGCAGGTGTGCATGCTGTCCCTGTCCTTTGTGCTGCAGCACCACCTGAGAGTCTGGGACCACCTCTTCCAGTTCAGGTTGGGGAAAGGAGGTGTTTCAATTTCTCGCCTCACTGTCTGAAGGTAGGATACCTCAAGTGGTCTTCCCTCTACTCCTTTAGGGATGAGGATCAAGTGTTCTTTTGTCTTGTCCTAGTTTCCACCCCAAATAAGGGCGGAGTGCTAAAAAGCAGCGGTGAGCCAAATAGCCCCTTCAAAATCCAGCTCCATCACCTGCCAAGTGAGTCAGACTTTAGGTAAGTTAATAGATCTTGGTTATGCCTCAGTTTTCTCCTCTGAAAAATGGGGATAATTGTGTCTACTGTGTCACAAAGTGGTCACTAAGGTGAGATAAGGGAATACAGGTAAAGCACCCAAAGGATGGCTCAACTACTGAATTAATGCTTTATTCTGCCAGCAACTCTCTTCTGTAATGGTTTTTCTGTTTTAGCTGTGTACTGTGGAGTCTGCCCTGTTGTATGTTTTCATTCCTTTCCCATTTTTCTCATCCTTGAGAAAGCTTTGCCCTTCCTGATAAAGCCACGAAAGTTTCCCTAAAGTTTGTTAAGTTCTCCCAAACTAGGTAAATAAATGGGGGTCTTTGCACATGTCCATCACAGGCGACATCACAGGCTCCCTGGCCAGCTGTGTTCTCCCAGTGTGTCTGTGAGGCTGAAAAGGTCTGGAAGTACTTCAACCATCACAGCCATTCTCAGGTGACTTAAGCATTAGCATAGCAAAAGAAAGCCAGGAAGGGGAGATGTCAGTCAAAGGATGCATATTTACAGTTAGCTAGGAGGGGCAAGTTCAAGAGACGTAGCATTGTACAGCACAGTGACTTCAGCTAATGTAGATACATTGTGCTCTGGAAAAATGCTAGGAAAGAGGGTGTAAAGTGTTCACCTCACAAAAATGATAACCATGTGAGGTAATGCATTTGTTAATTAATTAAATACAACTTCCACAATGTATATGCAGCTGGCCCTCTGTATATGAAATTCAACCAATGGTAGATTGAAAATACTAGGAACAATTCTAACTACCGAACATGAGGAGGGTTTTTTGGGAAAGGGTCATTATTCCCTAAACAATCCAGTAAAACAACTGATTGCAATGCATTCGCCTTGCATTGTGAGTAGTCTAGAGAGGGTTTTGAAGGACACGGGGAGATGTGCGCAGATTATGTACAAATGCTGTGCCATTTTATATAAGGAGCATGCATAGATTTTGATGCCTTGAGGGTGTTCTGGAGCCAACCCCCCATGTTTACCTTAAAATATGATTTGTTTGCATGTGTTTTGTCCCTCAAGAGTCTGTATGGTTAGAGTCTTGCCCCTCAGGGTGGCACTATTAGGAAGTAGGTGGTGGAAACTTTAAGGGGTGGGGTCAAGTGGGAGGGCCTTAAGTCATTGGTGGGGAGGCTCAGAAGGAATGAAGGTAATTCTGGCTGAATCCCTTCTTACTTCTCTGGAGAGAGCTATTATAAAAGCCTGAGCTTGCCCCCCCCCTCCGCCAATTCTATTACTTCTTGTATCCAGATATAATCTCTTGATGCTATGCACATAGCACAGAGCCATCTTCCATGACGGCATGCAGCTGAAAGGGCCTCACTGGGACTGAGCAGATGTGGGCACCATGCCTTTGAGCCTCCTTTATTTTGTTACTGTAATAAAAAGCTGACGAATGCTGTACATTGCAAATACATGCAATTTTATGTTGTTTAAAGATAAATGAATAGATTTTGGAAAGAAGGATGTGTAAGAAGTCAGACTGCTTAGAAATTAGGTAGTGCTAATTAAATATTAAAATGCCAAGCTTAACTTCTTGGCATCACAAGACCTCTGCAACAAGCATGAACAGAATGTGTTTATCATTGTAATTTTACTACTATCTCTTTAGGTCCACAGCTTTCAAACGCTGAAAGATAGATTCTTCTGTGTTTCTGTCCAGTTTTAGAAAGTGAGGATTTGCGGGTCTGGGAAGAGGGAGAGAGGAAATGAATGGAAATATGGTAATTTCAGAGAAATTGTTCTACAGCACAGTGTTCTGAGTAATTTCCTATTCTTTCCCCCAGCTCTCCTCTCCAACACACCAAGTAGATTTTGATTCATCAAGAGCACTGGGGACTTAACCAAGTGGAAAACATAAATGTATGTGGAGGACCCTACCCAGCTTCGAAGTACCAGGAAGACGAAGCAAGAGGGGAACTAAACTGCTGGGTTCCATTCTGAAGCCAGTGGGGTCACAGAGACTTCCTGGAAAAGGACCTGTGAGAGCATTAAAGTCAACACTATTTTAGGGTTGAGAAATCTGAGTGGCAAAGAGGGGAC